AGTATAATTGCTTCAATCTTAATTTTAGGCTGAAATAAAGCAATTTGTAATATTTTGAATCGACACATCACAGTAATTAAGTGTCAAAAAATGTTTAAGTTTTGTGTAGTTATTTTTTTGGTATCAATTATATTATTTTTTTCTACTACAAAGAGTGCACCTATACTAATTCAAATTTACGATAACGATAAAACGGATCGAATGAAATTTCATTTATTGGTACCTACAAACCAAACAGTTCAAATTAGACTGGCATTTAAGTTATTAACACCTAGTGAAAATTTGCTTGAAAATTGTGCAATTCGCTTTGAAAATACAACTAATGATGATGATAATTGGAACATCACATCAAGTAAAATTTTTAATGAAACAACCACCTCGCAGACATCAGAGCAAACAGACTTTGAAATTGTTTCTAATTTATTGTCATCAACTGTAAAAACACCACTTGAAACTTCGTCTTCATCTTTTAATGATGAACCAGTTTTGCTGACTATTGAAGAAAGTATTAAAAAATTTAGAAAAAAATCTAAAACAGAAAGAAATAAAAATTGCTGGTCTTATTAAAAGGAATCATCCCTACTACAAACATTTCCGACTTGAAATATTTTGATGGAGTAGTTCTACCTATTTGTTGTACTTATAATGCTAAATTTAGTGAACTACTATTAACAATTGATTGTTATGAGTACCGCGAAGTGGGAGTCCAGAGCATATTAAGTAATGGTGAATTTAAAACTGCAGCTTTACAATACATATATACCCGAATATATTGATGTTAGAAATATGACCCAAACTTATTCTATGAATATTATTTAATTTGTAAAAAAAAAACAAAATAAATCTTCAAAGAAAAAAAATTTGTTTGATTTATCTTTTATTTATAAATCATAATATCTATGATACGACTGTAAATGAAATCTAACAGAGATCTTTCTCATTGAAGCAGGTAAGTTATAAAATAAATCACCTACATAAAGTTTTAATCTAGCAAAGATGTTTGCTGCAAACACAAGTCTTTTTATTGTTGCTGCTATTGTTTAATTTACCGACAGCCAGAAGTAATCGAAGCTTTTGTTTGCTTCAACGAAAACAACGACACATGGCCTAATCAGTGGATAAAACTCGATGCTACACATCAAAATGATATACCAATTTATAAAAGTGAAAATAACATCACCGGTAATGATTCGATTATTAAATATAAAGTGAAATACATGTATTACGACCGATGCTATTGGGAAAGCGACTGGAATCATATTTTAAATCAAACATTAACGAAATTTAAAAACATAGAAAAAGAAAACTGTGTATTTGAAATTTGTCTTTCAAGGCTCATTTACTTACTTATTTATATAAAATATTTAGTAAGTGTAGGATTATAAGGGAAATTTAAAACCAAGAAAACAAAATACAGAATAAAGCCTTGTAAATAAAATTTTTGTTAAAAATATATTTAAAAAAATTCGAAACTTTTTTTTTCAAACAATAAATAACCTTTCCTTTCATTCCTCATATACCTGTAGAAATAAAAAAATAAAAAAATAAATTTGGTTATTCATAAATTATTTATTTAATTTACAACGCTGATTGGCTCCCCACCAACGAAAATTAACACAAAACGTCGCCATTCTTACCCCCCCACACACGCCGAGACTTCTCATTGGTCGAAACACATTGGAAGCCCCGCCCACATCCGGCCCCCGTCATACCCCCACCACAATTTGGCTCCGCCCCGTGCCTAATTTTGTGATCCAGAACATACATGGCTATACTACTAATATAATTGCTTCAATCATAATTTTAGGCTGAAATAAGGCAATTTGTAATATGTTCAATCGCTTTGGCTCACTTTTAAGTTGGGAATTAACCTAAATCAAAGTATTTCAACTAAATACTGGCTTTAGTCAAAGTTTTCTTCTAAAATAAAGCAATTTGAGCTATTTTCAATCCATATTTGCCCGATTTTAATACAGAATTAATTCAAAACTAATGTATTTTATAAGTATAATTGCTTCAGCCTTAATTTTAGGCTGAAATAAAACAATTTGTGATATTTTCAATCGATTTGGCTCAATTTTAAGTTGGGAATCAACCTAAATCAAAGTATTTCAACCAAATACTTCCTCTAATAAGAATTTTCTTCTAAAATAAAGCAATTTGAGATATTTTCAATCCAATTTTGTCCGATTTTAATACAGAATTAATTCAAAACTAATGTATTTTATGGGTATAATTGCTTCAATCTTAATTTTAGGCTAAAATAAAGCAATTTGTGATATTTTCAATCGATTTGGCACAATTTGAAGTTGGGAATCAACCTAAATCAAAGTATTTCAACCAAATACTGGCTTTAATAAAAGTTTTCTTCTATAATAAAGCAATTTCAGCTATTATCAATCCAATTTTAATCGATTTTAATACAGAATTGATTCAAAACTAATGTATTTTATTAGTATAATTGCTTCAATCTTAATTTTATTCTGAAATAAAGCAATTTGTAATATTTTAAATCGATTTGGCTCAATTTTAAGTTGGGAATCAACCTAAATCAAAGTATTTCAACCAAATACTGATTACGGATTAAAGCAATTATTTTAATAAAAAACATTAATTTTAAATTAATTCTGTAGTAAAATCGAGCAAAATTATATTGAAAATAGCTCAAATTGCTTTATTTTAGAAGAAAACTCTTATTAAAGCCAGTAGTTGGTTGAAATACTTTGATTTAGCTTGATTACAAACTTAAAATTGAGCCAAATCGATTGAACATAACACAAATTGCTTTATTTTATCCTAAAATTAAGGTTGAAGCAATTATATTTACAAAATACTGTCACGACCCAGTTTGGTAAACCCTTTTTTTCGGTACTTTATTGTACTGAGGTCGGACTTTAGTTAGGAACCTAATGTTACGAGAAATCAAAGTTAATTCGAATAAAATATTAACGTTTATTTAAAACTAAAGCCGAAACGAAAAATTATCAATAAGAATAAAACTAATCACTTACATCATCGTCCTTCAGGAGCAAGGCGGCACTACACTCTTTTTTCCAACTTGTCTTTTCGACCCCGGTTCACCGACTAACCCCATCTTTCCTCTTTTTCCGCCCCATCACCCGTTTTTGAACCTTCAGCAAAAATCCTCTCAGTTATTACAATAATGTATTACATCATTATATGATCGAGTTTTTGCTGAACGCTCATCCGGCGGATGATGGTTTAAAATTTGAGTATAGAAAGAAATAAGTCGGTGAATTAGAATTTACTAATGTGACACCTTCCCCCCTCCGGAAAAAACACTGGTCCACCAGTGTCAACTTAAATCTAGAACATTAATTAAAGAAATTACAAAAATGACAATAAAAAACAATGAAATTAAAATTAAAGTTACACAGTTAAATTTAAAATTTAATAAAACATGAATGCATTAAGTGAACAAAAAAAAACTAAAGGATCTTAACTTAAAATTAATCTAAAAAAAAAATTCTCTTAAAAACGCGCGCGTCTTATCTACGAAGCATGGCACTGCACTAGTTCTGGAACACACTGTTTATTGTAGAGGCACTGGCGTTATTGTCTATTCAGCAGTTTTTTATTAAATTGCGGAACTGTGCCACAAGGTATGGCGGACTTGGCGTTTTTTCATTTGCATGTTTTCTTTTTTTGGAGTGGTTTTGTTTGTTTGCTCCTTGGCCGTCAGAGTTTTTGACAAGGTAGGAAGTTTGTTCCTGAAACGTCCTTTGACGGGTGATTGTTTTAACACTGTCTCTTCTCCCAGTGAGGTTGTCCTGCCCAAAAACGGTTGGCTTGTGAAGGTTTGGCCCAGGTGTGTGGATTATGCAGGTTATTGCATGACTCCCTCGGATATTGAACCTCAAAATGGTTTTTTTTTGACATGCAGCGAAGACACATTCCTTGATAACATCTGCGTCCAATGAGCTAATAATTTTTTCATACAAGGAAAACATAGCTGTAACAGTAGATTTGTTTTCCTGAAAACCATGCTGTTCGTTTATTAACACATTATTCTTGTTTAAAAATGTTTGTAATCGATGTAAAAACGCATTTTCAAAAATTTTAGAGAACGAGATGGGGACTGTTATAGGTCGATAATTTTCTAATAAACTACGATCTTTTTTCTTGAATATTGGAGTAACTTTACCAGTTTTTAATATATTAGGAAAATCGCCGGTTTTGAATGATAAGTTGATAATATGTGTAAGTGGTGTTATTATTAAATAACAAATCTACTATCGTCCATGTCCGGGTTGAAATCGAATGCTAACAATTGTAAATCGTAAAAATATGACCTTACCGTTTCATTTTCTCTTTTCGCCGGTTTTCGAATTTTATTTCGTAATCTGCTTCCGAATCGCCTAATTTACACTCTTTAACGAATGCCTTTTTCACGTCATTCCAAGTTTTGTCTTTATTATATGTAATAAAAAACTCGAACCACCTATTTGCTATTCGTTCGAGAAATGAGCCAAAAACGTTATTTTAAGATTATTGTCCCATGCATTGGCAATAACCTTCGTTCGTAGTTTTTCAAAAAACTTTCCGGGTTGTTTTTTCGGGAATCAAAAATTTCCGGGCTAATAAACTGTGGGATTGCGGGTTTTTTTGAACTGTTAAACGCTTCTGAAATTGTGACGTCAGTCATTTTTTGTTTATTTGTTATTGATTGATTGATGGTTTAAAATTGGTTGATCTGTGGAAATGTTAAGATCCGGTAAATACTGTTGAACCTCAACAATAATATTCGAAATATCGTCATGAATTTCTTGCACAGTGTCTTGAAGACTTGAATATGTAAAATTTAGAAATTGGGAATTTGGGTCTAAATACGATTCAAAATTTTGTGTAGCTAAAGATGGATTATTTTCTAAATGTGAATTAAAATTTACGAGATGATCGTTATTCTTGGTGTTCGGGATCGCACTTAAATCAAAAGATGATGTTTCCAAATCGATATCTAATTCGTCGGATTTTTTATTTAAATTACTTTACGACGGGCCAATATCATACTTCTACTAGACGGTTGGAAATTTTTATACTCTTTTTCACTTTTGGTAGAACTTTTTTAAATTAGGAACCTAATGTTACGAGAAATCAAAGTCAATTTRAATAAGATATTAACATTTATTTAAAACTAAAGCCGCAACAAAAATTAACAATAAAAATAAAACTAATCACTTACATTATCGTCCCTCAGGAGCAAGGCGGCACTACACTCTTTTTTCCAACTCGTCTTTACGACCTCGGTTCACCGACTAACTTCTTCTTTCCTCCTTTCCCGTCCCATCACCCATTTTTGAACCTTCAGCAAAAATCCCCTCAGTTATTACAATAATGTATTACATCATTATATCATCGAGTTTTTGCTGAACGCTTAAAATTTGAGTATGGAAAGAAATATGTCGGTGAACTAGAATTTACTAATGTGACAATAATTAAAGTGCCATTTTTCAAGCAAGGAGAAAAAGTGCTTCGTTGCTCCAGACCTCCGGCCCCTTTCCAGACTGAAGCTACCGAATAAATACAATTTTCAAGAAAAGGAGTCTGAATTGCATCCTGCTGCACCTTTTCAGGACCGTAATCCCAGACACCGAATCCAATGGTTTGTAATGCCTTGTTTTTATTTATTTATTTATTCTTTAAACCGGACGCCAACAACTTTTCCCAAAAGTTGGAAAAGAACTATTTGGAGATGTTATCCAGGTCTACACTACATAAGAGTGCCTTTCCGACCAGCTTTTATACAGTGGAGAGGAATGGGGAGGTTCGATTTAATTAAACACAGGTGATTGAAAAGAGAAATTCATTCAGTAACTATAACAACAGTAACAACAGATAAAACAAGTAATTTTACAAAAAAACTTTTAACTTTGGACCTAGTGAACCCTAGCCCTTGAAGAAGAGGTCCTCCGCAGGTAAAATTAAAGGGAGAAATCCCGTCGGTTGTTTTCCTGAAGAGGTCCAGGAAATAATACTACCTGGAAGAAGTCCTAGATGTTAAGCCCTTACCCAAAGAGTACAGTCCTTCAGAAAAGATCCTAAAGTTATTCCACCAAGAGAGGTCTTAGTGATTTTGTCCAAAGAGGTCCGGAAGGAAAGTCAAATAAATCTGCCGGTGTGGCGGCCTGTTCTCCTTTATATACCCTTTGAAGTCAGCATTTTCATAGTAACAAAACAAACACTTTATACTTTGATCTATTTATCTGGGCGTACCTCTCATTGGTCTTTTTTTAGCAGTTCTTTTAAATAAAACCCAAACACAACATATTGTTTATTCAAAGAATTCTTACACCAGTTAGTTGATTAATTGTTTAGACATACTTCTAATACCAAACAAATACTAAATCCAAAAGTTTATTACATACTCCCCATACTTTTTAAAAAAAGGATTCTCCAAGTACCTTATATTTTTATTACTAACAAACAAAGAACACAAAAGACACAATCAAACACACAAATAAAGAAAACAAAAGACACAAACAAACAAATAAAGAGAAGCAACTTATTCAAACGGGGTGAATCGTTTAATTGCCGGTAGTTTTATCCACCGGAGTTTGTTGTTCTGGAACACCAGCATTGGTATGCGCTTGGTAACTCCTGCTGGGCGTAGCGCCTGCAAATCTCTAATGTCTGTCTCCGGCGTGACGACAGGAATCGGTTTGTTATTCCCTGGTTTGTTGATAAAACTTAATTTCCCCTTCTGGAGAGACTGGGTTGGTTCATTGGCCAAAATTGTCTTGGTTTTCTTTTGTGGCTGCACAGCAGTAGCAGCAGCAGCACAAAAWTTTTTATTTGATGGCGGGTCTAGTGGGAGATGTTTACGTGGTGTTGATGGTTGGGGTTTGAATTTTGGTACCTCGGATGAAGGCTCTTGCTTAGGTTGGGGCTTGGATTTTGACACTTGGGATGGAGGCTCTTGCTTAGGTTGGGGCTTGGATTTTGACAGGTTTTTCTTCCCACTACATGGACGAAATGGACGGGTTGGCTTTCTTATCATAGGATTTGGTGATTGAGGCAAGGGAGAAATCGGAGAAGGTATTGGACTAAATGAAATGTCAAGGACATCTCCAAACATCTCTAACTCGGTATTCATTATCTATAAAATTAACAAGTTTTAAATTTTTTATATGTACTACCTCTATTTCGCCCTCTGGTAATTCTAATTCACAAATGTTATTTGTGATTACTTTGGTTACCCTGTAAGGCCCTGAAAATTTAGGCGCTAATTTTAAGGCAAAGCCTTTGTATCCTTGTGAAAGGAAATACTCTCATTTCATCACATAGTCTCCAATATTAAGTCTTTTATATCGATGATTCTTGTTGTAGTCTTTAGCTTGTTGACTTCTTTTCTCTACTAAATTTAACTGGGCTACTTAAATGCATTCTAGAAGGTGATTGAGTTTGTCACGTTGTTTATCTATTTTTTCTTCGTCTGCTTCAAAGATAATATCGGCGTTTGTACAATTTTCCTTTAAAATTTGCGGAGCTTCTAACTCCCTTCCGAAATTTAAAAATGACGGAGTGAATTTGGTAGACTCATTTTTAGCGGTGTTGTATGTAAATACTATTTTGTCGATTTCTGCATGACTTTGTCTTGCATGACTAAAGCATATCGATTACATTTCTTTGATCTTGGTAAAGGTCATATTAAATCCACGCCTACTGTATGCCATGGGCCTTTTAAACAGGTAGGTTCCATATGTCCTGGTTTGTTTCTGTTGACTTATTTTGTATTTTCTACAGCTATCACATTTTCTAACAATCACGTCTTTTACTAGATTTGGGCAATAGTAATTTTGCTTAATTCTACTAATTGTCTTGGCTACTCCTAGGTGACCTGCTTCTGGTATATCATGATTTTCTTGAAGAATAGTTCCTATCTTATTATTMTTTACGCACAATTTCCAGTTGCCGTTACTACCATCTTCTGAAAATGGTCCCCAAATATGTCCAAATAATCTTCCTTCGTGTATCATGTAATCTGGATGTTTATCAGGGTTGTCTGACACGTCTTGTTTTAGATTTTTATACCAATCTTTTTCATTTATACAATTTACTACATCCTGTTTGTCAGGTAAATTTCTCGATAGCATGTCTGCTAAAAGATTCTGTTTCCCTTTTCTATATTCAATGTCGAAATTGTTTTCTTGTAGAGAAAGGGCCCACCTTGCTAGTCGCCCTGTGGGATTCTTTAATTGCATAAGCCATTTTAGTGATTGGTGGTCTGTTAGTATTTTGAAGAAGTATCCTTTCAGGTAATATTTCATCTTTGATATTCCTCAGATTATTGCCAAACACTCTTTTTTAAAATGGGCTTAAAAACAGGTCATTTATTTATTTAAAACTTTATTAAATAAACTGGCTTCTTATACAACTTACGGAAAAGAGTGAAAACATTAAATGAATGATTCAATTCCATCATTATTAAAAAAATGTCTTCAATTTGAAACAAATCAATCAAGTTTCCGAAGTACATATAAAATATAAATTAAGTTTTGAATAAAGAAATTGAGTTGATTACGCACCCGTCAATACGCTTAATTGCAGAAAACTGTTCAGAATATCATCTCGTGTACACAGTGCTTCATTAGTAATGACACAAACTCGGCTCTCGAACGGGCACGTTCGACCGTTTTCAGATGGGATGGATATGTACATAGATGGCGATACAATGTCAAAAGCGAGGGACTCTAAAATGCGATGAAATGCGAGTGCGTCACCCACTTATGCTATCTGCTTTTGTAGACTGCGCTACACAAAACATGTCTGCCTTAATAAAAAGTAACAATATAGATAAAAGCTGTTCTTTGTATCATAGCAGGTAAGTGATATTTAATGAATTAAATCCCGGCAGTATATCAAGGTTTGTAGTTTCAAACAGCCAAAATTAAAGAACCGTAACATGATTAGCGGGGTCGGATGTAAATGGTTTTATGACAATGAAGAAAATCCATCAGAAAAGTGATAAATATTGAATTGAATGACGTCGTCCAGGCATTAATTTTCTACTGGCATGACGACGAGGAAAGGGAAATCATACCATTAGAAGCCATAATAATGCCCTACCAGCAAATTCCACAGAGTCGAGTGGTACTCCGTATCCGTAACAGAGCACTTAATGCCATTGATCGTGTTGAACTACGCTTTCCAACTCCAGTCAGACAGTCGAGAACGGTTCATAAGTTATATCACGCCAGAAAGGTTTGTCGAGGGTATTGTTATTAAATTTTTTAATCCACAATCACTCTATAAAGAGACTTTATTCCACACTTTTGATGCTTTAAACTACCACTTTATCCACTAGTGGAATAATAGTATATTATGTAACTAGTGTTATCAACGCCACTTTAGACATGAGTTTTAATAGGCACGTGCGAAGCGCAGCGGAGCGAGTCTTTAATAAGACGAATATCTAGACAAGTTTATACACGTGTAACATACTATACTTTTTCTATGAGCATCACAAAAAAAATACTTAAATAAAAAAAAATATTTGTACTTAATTTTAATTTAATTTGGTATTATAGTTTACCTTTGTAAATAGGTATTCCATGTCAGGAGCAGACGATAAGAATTCTTTAATTTGCTGTTTTCGACTTTTTGGGTTTATAATCATCAGATTTACCCTTCCGCAACGCACACAATTTAGGATATTTTCTTATGTCAACCTTGTTTTTTAGGTTAAGCGTCATCCGCAACATTGAGTAGACTGTTCATAAAGAAGACGATTTCATCCTTTTCGAAAGATCTTGAAAATATGCAAGAAGCACATTCTCAGATAAAGAATTTATTTAATTTCTTGACGCCAATCTCTAAAAAGTTTATATGCACATTTGTATTGAGTTTTTGATTTTTCCGGCAGCAAACTAGCAGTTGGCGAGGCCGGTGCTTCGGTAATCTCGGGTGGAGTGCAAATTCCAATAAAAACATCATCTTCACTTTTATTTTCATTCATTTTTCACACGCCGCAGCCCCGTCTAAACGTCAACTGACTCTTACAATAAATATCTATTATTGGAGCTCAGAAAAAAAATGTTTTTAATAAAGTATGAAAATGGGTAGTTAAATATTATACATTAGATGTATAATTAGATGTAACCTATGTACCAAGAAGTTTTGTAAGTTACAGATAAAATCATGTTTATTCAGTTGCCAATTGAATTTTACATCATTTCCCCCTAATTATGATGCTTTTTTGCAGCAGCGATTCTGCTAATTCTTCCCCGTCTTCATCAGGTAGTTCAGAATAAATTGTTACTTAAATCAAAATGTGAATGTATACATATGCATAAAAAAATAAATTACTTATATATTTTTTTCAAAAAAACTGTTTTCGTTATTTGTTCGTGATATTTCTATAGTTGTGGGTTAGTAAATATTTTTTGAAATAATAACAAATTTTTATGAAATTCGATTTCTAAAATTGTCACAAAAATGTGTCAGTTGGTTCATTATTTTGTTTGATATAGACTTGGAAAACTAATTGATTTTCAATTTTAGTAGTCTAACTAAAAAATGTGGTCAAATCCTGTCGGATTTGATTAAGAGTTTCATTTTTATTTAGTAAATTATCTTTTAGGTTGTAAAAATTAATGTTTAGGTCACTTCGAGTAGCTTCAGGTCGGTTCAGGTCACTTTAGGCCACTTTGGGTTACTTCGGATTAGTTTGGCTTGGAGTAAAAAAGAAAGTGTTAAATGTACTGACTTTGATTTTTAGAAGAAGAAAAAGTCTTAGGAAAATGTTTAAATTTAGTAGTAAAAATGGCAATCGAGACGTTTCAAAACATCATGCTCCAAAAGACAGTTGGGAAGACTAAAGAAGTGTCAGATGTATTGGATTAAAAAATTTCTAGAGTTGCAAAAAACATTTAAAAATTTCTTAAAGAAATGCTTAAATTAAAAAAAATGTCATTCGAGATGTTTCAAAACATCGTGCTACAAAAGACAGTTGGGGAAACCAGATGTACCGAAATAAAAAAGTTCTAAATTTGCAAAAAAAACATTTAAAAATCTCTTAAAGAAATGCTTAGGTTAAAAAAGAATGTCAATCAAGACTTTTCAAGACATCGTATTGCAAAAGACAGTGGAAGAGACTAAGGAAGTGTCTAGAAACAATTTTGCAAAAAAAACGTTTAAAACGTTCTTAAATAGGAATGCTCACATATAAAAAATGTTAATTGAGACTTTTCCAAAATATCATGCTAGCCTTGATGTAATCAAATACGATTGAGTATTACGGGGGCTGCGCCCCCGATTGGGGCTTACGGAGGCTGCGCCCTCAATTGGTTTTGTCAAAGAGGCTCGTGGCTTTCCTTCTAAACCTCTCACTATCAGATATTGTCAAAATAAAGGAAGCTCACTATCCTCACACTATCAGATATTGTAAAAATAAAGGAGGCTCGCGGTTTTGCCGATCGCCTTCTTCTAAACCTCACACTATCAGATTTTTTTTTAATCGTAAGACGGTTTCATCCTTTTCGAAAGATTTTGAAAATATGCAAGCAGCACATTCTCAGATAAAGAATTTATTTAATTTCTTGACGCCAATCTTGGAAAAGTTTATATTCACGTTCGTACTGACTTTTTGATTTTTCCGGCAGCAAACTAGCAGTTGCCGAGGCCGCTGCTTCGGTAATCTCGGGTGGAATACAAATTCCAATAAAAACATCATCTTCACTTTCATTTTTATTCATTTTTCGCAAGCCGCAGCCTCGTCTAAATGACAACTAAATGACAACTGATAGAAAGCACCTCCGTGAAGTTAGCAATAAGTAATATTTCTCTTGAGGGCAAAATTTAAATTACAGTCGACCAAAAATTTTCTACTCGCGTTACAACGCGTTTCCTCCAACATTTTCGTTTCGTGCAGCCAGATTTACACTCGAAAAATTATTAGAATTACAGAAAGCTAACATCAGCCCGTGAATAATATGAGAGTTGCTATTATCAATGTGACTAATACGCATAAAAGTCACGGCTTGGTAAGGTGTGTATAAAAGGTCACTTAGCGTCATGCAAATATATACGATAATCCGTGTTTTAGATGTGGGAGTAGAAAAAAAATAGTACTTTTTTTGTTAAAACTTATAATAT